AATATCGAGCATGAAATTTCACTCGCCCTTCATGGTCAAATAATCACCTAGCTTAACTTAAATTGGCAGCTAGACACCAATCTTTATATGGGCAGTAGTACACATTTGTTTAAAGCAAATCTAAGCAAATTCATAACATGAAACATAATATGTGATAATCAATGACTAGTGAAACTAAGTGTGATATATATATTACAGGATTGTACTCACTGATGTGGTCTTGTGCCAACACCGGCAATAGACACCCATGAGTCAACAATGTCATACTCAGTGCACAGATATGTAGATGTTGTTGCTGCTAAACTGTGAGACACTAACACATTCACCCTGAAAGTAAGGTTTCAATAATTAATATCAGTCAATATTGGTCAGCCAAATTAAATGTATATATTTATTATTTCAACAACAAAACAGTGACTACATGTATACTGACTTCATAATAAACTTTAAAATTTTTGAAAAAATATAAGTAAGACTTTTATTGACACTTACCGTAAAATCTGTATTAGAAGCCGCATCCCTAATATAAGTCGCACCCATTCTTTTTGAATAATTGAGAATCTAAAATTTACCATTTCTCATATGTGTAGATGCTCTAATAGAAGCCACATCCCCTCTGTTGCTTTGTACCATTTTAATAGAAGCCGCGGTTTCTAATACAGATTTTACAGTATTATTCAATTTGAGAAAGTTTTTCTTACAAAATTTCCCCATATAATTCTGTAATGGTTCTGTGCAATTCAGAACATGATAGCTTCATCTTGTATTACATAGATGGTAGATTCGCCGATCACTTGAAGTATTATTATGCTCACCTTTTGCAACTGATATTCTAAGGCTTCAGATTATATACCGGTATAATGCAATAACAGTTTGGCATTCAGAGGATTGATGATAGCTGCATGCTTACCTGTCAACTTGGATTGTTTCAAGGAAGTCTTTAATGAATTTGGCCTTTACAGATGGTGTATAGTCAAATGAAGAATTTACAGGTATATTACAATAACCATATCCTGATGACACAAAGTACAAAAGTATAATTGTAATAGAAGTCAGTATGGTACTGTGATGAAGTAAGAAAATGTATGTGATATGAATGGTAGAAAACATTTTACCTTCACTTTGTCTTTCAATATAGCTTATGTTTAATTTTTATTTATTGAGTTTGATAACAAATAATCTGTTATCCACTAAATAAGACATTGATTTATACTGAAGAATTTTGAATATTTTGAATTGTAATTTGGCCTTTACATAATTCCAAAGCTACCCCCTCTGGAGATTTTGATGAACAATGTGACAATAAGTATTCAAATCACCAATGGGATTAGATTTATTGCTTCTCTATATCATGTTAAAACTTTTGAGTCCAAAGTCCAATTGCTTTGATATTACATATATAGGTACTACATGTGGACCTCTCTCAGATATGTTCATTTTGTAATGATATCTTCAATTCTCTAATTTTGGTGAATATTTTTGTCATTTTTGGTAAAAAGTGATATTTTTGACTTCTTGTTGAAAACCGCAAGTCCAATTGCTTTGATATTACATATATAGGTACTACATGTGGATCTCTCTCAGATTTGTTCATTTTGTAATGATATCTTCAATTTTCTAATTTTGGTGAATATTTTTGTCATTTTTGGTAAAAAGTGATATTTTCGACTTCTTGTTGAAAACCGCAAGTCTGATAGTTTTGATACTATACATATTGTTCATTTTCTAATGATATCTTCTATTCCTTAATTGAAACGTGCATTGCTAACAGCGGAGCTATCTCAGCCGAGAGACTGCTTGTTTGGTATTAAGTACGGGTATATTGTTATGTCAGCAAATATCTTGGAGACCATTGACATGAATGACCAACAGCAGTAATTTTTGGTATCATACTATTTAAACATTAATGCCCATTTTTAATGATTTGCATTTTACATTGCTACTGCATATTAGCTGTGGGAACAGCTATAATTAGACTGAAATGCACATTACATGTATAACCTATGGTGCATTATAATTGCAACTTATGCTAAAAATCTTATTAGACCACTGTGGGTCATGCCTACATGAATATAAATAAATGCATGAAAATCCAAAATTTCAGCTAATTGGTGTCTTACCTGGGAAATTTGTAAGAATTATTCTACATTCCTTTTTTGGCAAATATGGTAAGATAGCAGAAAAGTCTTTAAATGATCCTGGTGAACCATGAAGAAACAGTAATACTGGTCCATTCCGATCTCCTAAATCTGAGTATGCAACATTGAATATTGAATCGCATGTATCAACATCAGCATAAGATAAAGGTAGCTCGTTGTTTCTGTCAGTTTTGGTACACATTAATCTCCGAACATGAGTATTCAAGCTGAAGTAGTTTGTGGTAATTCTGCTCTGGTATTTATGTTTTGGTAATTTGTAACTTGAATTACATGTATATACATATCTAACTTGTTCCTTGAATTGTTTCCTCCAATTGCATCTGATGGTACTTGTCATGTAATACCTTGTCAAGACCCTATTTATCGGTATTGAATATTGAGCACTGCAACCATGGATAACACTGAGTAGTTGATGAAATCTATACGCCATTATTTACATGTGATGATGGATGATACTATACTGAAAAAATAAAAGACTTGTGATATACTTTGAGCATGGAAGAATGTTGAATGACTATGTCTAACTAATATTATAACAGGCTTTTGTTTAAAGCTAACTAGCATTGAATTTACAGTGAGCCAAACTTACGAAGTGTGTATACTAGTCACTCTGGATTCTGATGAAATTATGCCCAAACTACAAAATCCAGTTGCTCATTCGGACCACCAGTTTTCCACAATTATAGCACTCTTTTTGAATTTTTTATCTATGTACTTTATACTACATGATGACAACAGTTAATTATGACTGCAAGAAAGAATGGAATGACAATATTGCAATACAAAACACTGTTTTCCTAATAATATAGCTATATTGCTCCATGATGTAGTCAATGCTTCCAGTGGCATGCGGGCAAGACTTTGTGTAATGTAAATTTTTTGTACTGTAAGATTGTCTTTTCATTTTTTTTTTTTTGCAGTCACAGTTCACAGGAATTCAACCTTAAATATGAGGAAACAAATTATCATATTATTTTTTTGTTTTTGTATCAAAAGTGTTACACAGTTGTTGATTTAGAGACACAAGTCGTTGAATTTTTGGCTTGCTTACTATTACTCAGGACACAAAAACAAACTGAAAACATGCAAAAATGGGCCTTTTTGGAACTACCAGGGTATTTCCATAAGAATTCCTTTTAAAACATTATTTCATTAAAAATATACCCATCTAAGAACTACATTTGATTATTTCATCATATGTACTTGAACGTAGCAGCCAATGGTAAATGGCTCAAAGATTTCATCACAGCTTGAAACATTTTTTGGTTGGCCATACTTTTTTATCTTTATTTAGTGAGTTAATTAGAGCATAAAATAAAGCTGTACGGTTCCAATGGTAGTCAAACTTTTAGAAGTGGATGCAGAAGCGATTTCACGAGAGAAAACATTCTATTGTATCACACAACCATTACTTTGGCATAAACAATAGAAACTTGAATACAATTTTTAAAAGTTCAGTGACCTACTATTTTTATTTGTAGAAAACATTCTCTGCAAGCCCCATCATTACTCGAGTTAATAATATCTTTATTGCCCGCTTGTGAATAATTTTACATTGGGTTATAGCAAATGATATTTTATGAAATATGATAGAATCTATGCAAATAAATGAATAATATTAGTTCAAGAACATATATATATATTTCAGCTTAATTTATAATAATATTTGTATCTCTACCTTAAAGTAAATATGTGAATATATTTTTACTGTCTTTCATCTTTCATGGAATTTTGATTTTATTAAAGAATATTTTCAGTTCAGTTTCATATTTATTTAGCATTCCTCATCTTCGATTAAATTGACATTACATTTTTACCATATTCTGTTTTTTGGGTTTTTTATGTGTGTCCACCATTTTTCTATTTCAAGATTGTGGTTGCTATAATTGTAAATGTTGTGTAACATTTCCCTTTCTCGCAGTCTAGCTTATTCAAATAAGTCTCTAACTTGTAGTCTGAGTTAAAAAAAATTACAATGTTTTTTTTATTATTATATTTCCTCATAGAGCTTGCATATTAACTGTGTAATATAAACATTAGATTTTCTCAATAACAAGGTCAATGAATTACTAATAAATTATATTAGAATAATCTTCCAGTATACCAAAATTAACACAATTTCGGAGAATTAATAATTTCCACTTGGTTACTCTCAACAAAACAAAGGCCTTCCTCCATCTTTATAAATATATATCCTTGGGGGCGGACATCCGGGCATTTTCTACCGCCTGGCAACCCTCGCGGTGAAAACAAAGACCCAAAACCCGCAGAAAACGGTACTTTGCGGTGGTTGTTGAGAGTCCCCTGAACAGTGTAACAAGATTAACCCTACGTGTGTAACATATATGAATTTGGTTGTTCAGGATTACTTCAAAGTTGAGTTTGTGTTGTTTTCTCGAGTTTTCACCGCCTCCACCGGCGTTCTTCGGCAGCGCGCACAAAGCCCATAGAAATACGTTGAACAGTGATGCGCGTCTTAGCAACGTAGAACGTCCGTAACGTAGCTCCGCCCCGAGGATAGATTTCACTGTTATTCAGTCGGCCAATAAAAAACTTGTTTCGGGTTGAATCATGAAATTTAAAAATAATTATAAGGGAATACCTGGGAGTGTAACTTTTCACTACTTAGTGCAAAAGTCTCAATATCACGATTACTTTAAATTATTAACCTAAATAGTCTAAGAAACCGGAGTCAAGCTAACCATTCATGTAGGTGACGACCGAACTTTTTATGTTGAGATCCAAGACTGATTGCCATTCTAGGTGGCGCGCTTGTAGCAACCTGTCACTTCAGGGAAGCAGAGCCGAACGACCGTCGACCGCTTTGGTCAAGTGCGACATGGGAGTGAGGGCGATACAAACCTTAGTCCCACCTCGTGACCTTTGATTGAATTGATGATTACGGGCCGGCATCATGCGTTAGTCAGGAAAGGCATAGGTATTGTAATCTGAAAGAAGCCGTTGTTGAAATTGTTTACGACCAGGTTAATATCACCAAGCATACATTAATGAGGTATGGGATCAGTAACAAATTATGGCACTTACGAGAATTTATAAAGTATTCTCAAACGTGACTCCCTATCGTCAGCGAGCAGACATTTTGATTCATGAATCATGGGAGACTCTCTGGATTGGAAATGGGTGGTGTCGTCATCGGTATACGGTTGCCAACGCAACGAAACAGTATGTAATGGGTTTATGGGGAGGGGCGTGTCTTATGAGGGGCACCATTACACATTCCCATTCGCTTAATTTCAGCAGGCAAGTTTTTTTAATGTTTTTAAGTCTGCACCTCGTATGATGAAACGCTGTTTATGTACAACCATGGAGGCTTTTTACCTCCATGGTAAACTTACTATGAGATTGAGTGTTCAGTTAGTTTTACCATGGAGCTCATCACAGCTCGCTGCATGGTTTTACCATAGACCTTAGAAAGACTCTTTTTAAGGTCTATGGTTTTACAAGTAAATTGTTTATGTACTGGATCAGATATATGGGGTGCGTTTGTGATAGGTAAAAATAAATCAATGATATAATGACCAACTTGTAATCAGGTAATTTTTTTATAATCTAAAGTCTGTACTGTGAATTTCATGGGGGCATGACATATTTTATGTTTGTTCTCTTTGGCCTCATTTGAAAGTGTGCATTGTAAATTGATAGGCATGACTAGTAATAGAAAAATAAATAATAATATAATTTTTGATAAATAATATTGCATGATTGTCATAACAAAAGAATTAGTTATACAAACTCAACTTTGAAGTAATCCTGAATAACAAAACAATCCTAAAGTATCATTTTCTGAGAGTTTTTGGCATTTGTTCTCACTGTGATGGTTGCCAGGTCAGGTGGTAAAAATGCCTGGATGTCCGTCCCCCCAAAAATACACTAGTGGGCTTCAGAAACACCAATGTGATTAAAATCTGGTATAGGTTCCATTTTTTTCTATATTGTATCTCTGTCATATCAAGTTATTGAGCCTATACCTACATCAGATTGTTATCAGATTGATTATTAATGCGTGATAATATACTTTTTTCACATTCAGGATTTCCAAAAATGACGAAAGTTTACTCCGCTACCGATTCCTTCATTTCTGATTTAAAACACATTGAGGTCACATCTCTTGGGGCAGTATTTGACATGGTGTATGCAGATATCGGGCCACGAGATGGACCTGTAATCATTGGAGTGCATGGAACTCCTGCTACTTACAAAACATTTTTTTCGTTGTTTGAATATTTTTCCAAGGCTGGTATAAGATTTATTGCAGTAAATATGCCAGGTAAATGCCATATGCAATCATCACAATGCAACATGGAAGTCATTTATATATGCTTGTGAAATAGGTTATTTATATTTGAAAATGTATGTTGCGCAACAACTGTAGCACCAAGTTGTTATGCCTATATGTAAATATTCGACTTACGAAAGCTTATATAAGAGTTCAGTTGAAGAAAAAACACTTTTATATGGAGAATTAAGACAAGAATTCAGAAAAAAAATAGAATGAAACAAGGAATTCATCTTTGTTCAGTGAATGTATCAATCTTATCTTTTCTTGTCATTTTCAGGGATGGGATACACAGAACTTGATAAAGGTAAAACCTTTGACTTCTCACCCACACACAAAGCAGAAGTGGTCAAAGCTTTCATTAAAGCTATGAAATTACAAAGGTGAGAAATGACTAATAAAAATTTCACATTACAACTTGCTATCATATCACATTATGATTGGGAAGTATATCTAATGTTGAGCAAATGGATATCATCTTACATTGCAATTTGATACCATCTGACATTGCAATTGGATATCATCTGACATTGCAATTTGATATCATCTCACATTGCAATTTGATATCATCTCACGTTGCAATTTGATATCATCTGACATTGCAATTGGATATCATCTTACATTGCAATTTGATATCATCTTACATTGCAATTTGATATCATCTGACATTGCAATTTGATATCATCTTACATTGCAATTTGATATCATCTCACATTGCAATTTGATATCATTTTACATTGCAATTGGATATCATCTTGCATTGCAATTTGATATCATCTCACATTGCAATTGGATATCATCTTACATTACAATTTGATATCATCTAGCATTGCAATTGGATATCATCTTACATTGCAATTTGATATCATCTAGCATTGCAATTGGATATCATCTCACATTGAAATTTGATATCATCTCACATTGCAATTTGATATCATCTAGCATTGCAATTGGATATCATCTTACATTGCAATTTGATATCATCTGACATTGCAATTGAATATCATCTGACATTGCAATTGGATATCATCTCACATTGCAATTAGATATCATCTAGCATTGCAATTGGATATCATCTTACATTGCAATTAGATATCATCTAGCATTGCAATTGGATATCATCTCACATTGAAATTTGATATCATCTTACATTGCAATTTGATATCATCTAGCATTGCAATTGGATATCATCTTACATTGCAATTGGATATCATCTCACATTGCATTTTGATATCATCTCACATTGCAATTTGATATCATCTAGCATTGCAATTGGATATCATCTAGCATTGCAATTGGATATCATCTCACATTGAAATTTGATATCATCTCACATTGCAATTTGATATCATCTTACATTGCAATTGGATATCATCTTACATTGCAATTGGATATCATCTCAGATTGAAATTTGATATCATCTCACATTGCAATTTGATATCATCTCATGTTGCAATTTGATATCATCTTACATGGCAATTTGATATCTTACATTGCAATTTGATATCATCTAGCATTGCAATTTGATATCATCTTACATTGCAATTGGATATTATCTCACGTTGCAATTTGATATCATTTTACATGGCAATTTGGATATCATCTCACATTGCAATTGGATATCATCTTACATTGCAATTTGATATCATCTTACATTGCAATTGGATATCATTTTACATGGCAATTTGGATATCATCTCACATTGCAATTGGATATCATCTCACATTGCAATTGGATATCATCTTACATTCAATTTGATATCATCTCACATTGCAATTTGATATCATCTCATCTTACATTGCAATTTGATATCTTACATTTTGAATTGATAACATCTTACATTGCAATTTGATATCATCTAGCATTGCAATCATCTTACATTGAATATTTTGAATATAGACACATTCATGTTATCAGACATAGCATATTACCGGTACATATGTACCCCTAGATAACAAACCCTAAAAAGATAACTATGGATCCAAAACACTCATATATATAATTTTTTTTATTTTACAGGGTAGATATTCTCCTTGGCCACTCATTGGCATCTCACACTTGTTCTCATATTGTCCACGATCCTAGTATGAATATGGTGAAGTCCGTGGCATTTCTTTCCGGTGCTGGACTTGTACCACATAGGTAGGATATGGTGAAGCCTGTGGCATTTCTTTTTCCACCATCTTGTTCCAAGAGTTGTTATATCATCCCCCAAATATATGTATGATACACAGCAGTCAAACGATCCAAAATGATGATAAATTACATTTGAGGAGAGCATAAGAACATATGGAGATTCACCAGTATAGACATCAATATATCTTGCAATGCATGACATTTTGTAACGAATTGTTTGAGCATGACAACAACAAAAAACAATATATTAATCTCATTAGTAATTCTCCATGCATCTGTATCACAATACCTACATATACAGTCATGCATAGACAGACATACAACATTACAAAAATACTTAATACATCATACAGGACACCTCTGCAGTCGTTCTACCATTTTGATTTTTTATAATTATGGTTCATGTCAGTTTGATTCTGGTTTTCTTCTTCTATCTTTTTTTTTGTCTAGCCATTTTGAAATTCTGTGTGTTTTATAGTGTTCACACTTTAAGGACATGTTAATTTCTATTGTAATAGTTTTTACAATGGAATCTTCCAGGAACTATATATGTGTGCATGCACATAATTTACCAGAAAAGTTGCAAATCATTTAAGTTTGTTGTGAACATGCAGGCATAATACAGTGTGAATAGTGAAAATTGGGAATTCTGTAATTGTTGGGACTGAAATATTTTGTTCGCCTTATGCAAAATTTATTAAAATGTACAGAAGAATATATATAAAATTTGATTAGTTTGTTGAGACCATGACTCATCCACTATTTTAATGACCTCTTCTAACATCAATACATGATGAAAATATTAATCTTAATGCAATTAAAGTGACATTGTTCAGTGGTAAATTCACTGTTCAGTCTGTGAAATCAATCAAAAGTATGTTTTTTCAACAGTATACATTAAATGTTGATTCAATAGCTTTTGTTAAATTCAAAATATTAAAAAATCGTTGAAGAAGTTAATTTTAAATAGGGTAAATTTGTTTTGTCACTAAACTTTGAACAAGTATTCCCTGATGTATGTGACATTAAATGACAACCTGATTATCATAGTTTTCATAAATGCGACTAATTTGTGTGGTAAATTGTTTGCAATCACAGTAAATTGTGCAAATAAACAGACATATATTGCAACATGAAACACAGGATTCAAACTCGCAATCACCATTGCAGGCTGATGTGCTACCTACCTCGTTACATGTACTGCACATATGAGTTGATGAATATTAGTTTATAGTTCAACAGTTACATTTATTTCTCTATAAATTTGTTTGTTTCAGACCGTTAAGACCTGTTCCTATCATTAAGTATATGTCTTGTTTGATATACAATTTATATCAGATACCATTGCTTTGTATCTTAATTGGCTGGCTGGCTAACTGGCTGTATAGCTTATTTGGTTTACGAGGACGAACCGTTGAATCCAACGTATACAGTATGTATGAGGCTTTTAAGATCGATTTCAAGTTGGTAAGTTTAAATATAAAATTTTATTTTATACTTCATATAATAGGTTTGTTTCAAACAAATGTTTAAAGGTAAGCAAACATTAAATTCAATATACCAAAGATGAAAAAATTATAATAATGGTTTGGACCAGCTTTGAAACAAAAATTCTATCTTTTGAATTACTATTCCAATGATTGGTCGAACTGTAAAATGTATTTGCTACCCTCCTTGAACTTGAACAGTTTATTCATAGATGATATCATTTCATAGCTCTGAACAAATATGAACCTTGTGCTGTCATGGTCATGTACAGATTTTTGTAATCTAAAAAGAATTTTTAAGTATTTCCTTAAAATCAAAATAATTGGTAGCAGTCTTCCTCTCAATCGTTATCAGCAACAATTTAATTAATTAATTGATTGATTAGATAATACACAATGTGCTCTTTTTAAAAAAAAAACAAAACTATTTTTCAGTTTAACTCTCATCTTTCTGACATTACAAGAAGAAACTTTCCTCTATTAATGATTTATACTATGGATGACCCTATTATTGATCTCCATGTGTCAGAAGGAATAGTTGAAAAGCTACAAATTCCCGACAGCAATATCATCAAGTGTAATACACAAGGGGTGTTTAATTCTCAGCTTACAGGTTAGTATACATTCTGACAAAGTGTACTTCATTTTTTAAATTGATGAATTGAATGAATGTTTTTTCAATGCAAGAGGTGATATGACTAGCCTGAAATCCAGCCATTCAGAGTTCCCTTCCCATATTCATGGATTTTTCTCACGATAATAGACTGGATCTAGTCTTTGATATGACATTAATTCCATCAAAGCTATCTAAATAAAACCTACCTGGGTGGCAGACATCAGGAAACTATTGTATTTGTGTAAATTAGAACATGTTTGGTAATCGCAGTAAGTTGGCAATATTCAGGAATTTGTAAGCGTATTTTCATGTCGTTTTAAGAAATGCCTACATTTTGAGTGGCTTACTGATATTTGTTCACTAGACAAACTGGTTACATATCGGGAATTTAAGGTTACATTGCAGCCGGAAAAAATACTTAAAATCTGTTGAAATTTATTCCCATAGAGTAGCTCTTGCACGGTTTCGATGTTTTTCTCACTGCCTTTGCATTGAAAGAGATCGTAGTGTAATTTGACCTCTTTGTGACATAGATGAAATTGAAAATGAGTTTCACTTTCTCCTTGTTTGCCCATATTACCATGAATTGCGAACCTCATACTTACCCAGTACATTTTATAATACCCCATCTTATGATAAATTTACAGATCTTGTTACTTCTCAAAATTCTGACATTTTACAACCACTGGCTGCATACATTTTTCATGCATTGAAACTTAGGAATGAGATATGTGATTTTATTTAAATATTCTGTAAAGTATTTTTATTTTTCGAATATTCTTCTTGTATGTGTGAATACTTTAATGGGCCGATGGCCTTAAATTTTTAAATAAAGACCATATATATATATAAATAAACACATGTAGGTTGATAATTTACTCAGGATTATACTTAATCTAATAATGACTGGGTTTATATATTTGAATCAGTTTCAGATAGGTTCAGTTACATAAGTTTTGGTTTAAGCATGTTCTGATTCAAGTTTTCACTTTCTGTAACCACTCAGTAGTATCTCAGGACAATATCTGTATACATGTACATGTATTGAGAACATTACAGATGTGTGTATGGTGGGGGAGACTGCAAAGTTTATTCTGATGCTTAATTTAACTCTGAAAAATACCAACTTAGCAGTTTTAAAAAATGACAGTTTGAAATTAGAACATGTTTTTAGCCACTCTCCCTTGCAGAGTCTTTGAGCTTATGACCTGACCTAGGGAGCCCCTGGTGACTACCTAGCTTAGCGATACAACACCCAGTCTCTGCAAAGGAGAATGTTTTTAGCTAGATGTTTTACTGTCTTACAGCACATTGAATATTTTGATAGTTATATTAACGTATTTTAGATTTATGATTCTGTAGTAAAACTAATTTTTAATGTTTAAATGATTATTTAACTTATTTTTAGATGATCAACTTCATAGAGTTGTCGTATTTGAAGGCGGACATCACAGACCACAGTGGAAATACCCTGAGATTGTATGTGAACAACTTAAAAGCATGGTCTTAGCTCTCAGAACAACTTCTAAACTTTAGTAATTGGCAGTATTAGGGTTTTTTAATTGTATTATTACATATTTTTCAAAAATAAAACTACATTTGTATACATTGTTGACATAAATTAACATACATTAATCTTCTCTCAGGGAAAATTTGCCACAAGAACTTGTCAAACTATTTTTTTTTGAGATGCAAGTATGGAATATTATTTTTTGCATTGATTTCATGTTGTGGGAATATGAAAACTATTAACAGAATCATCTACGAGTTTTATAGCCGGGATTGTGTCACTGAAAAGTGAAAATTATAGTCTTACTAGAGTGCCACCACACTTACCTACGTCATGCACATATTACAACAAAATCACAACACAAGTTTGTAATTGTTCTGGTAGTTTTTAATTTCATGTGTTATATTGAAAATTATTTATTTGCAAAGCTATTATTACATAAAATGTACCAGTAATTCCTCCATTACTGTTATCAACCAATTATGTGATCAAATGCAATCTGTAAAATAAAAAAAAATTTATTTATGAATTTTAACATGCATACTTCACATAATTCACCAATAATTGTAATTTCAAGCAGAGTAACATATTTTCATCTGAGAAAATTGGACAAGTACTCAAAATCCCTGACTCACCTTGCTGTGTTTTTCATCCTCACCATCACGGTCATTACTACCAGTCTCACCAATCTCCTCATTCTCGCTCTGCATCAATTCATCTGTGTCAATGGTCGTTACATCTACTTTTAGAACAAGTTTTGTCTGGCCACTTCCATCTCTGTCATCAGAGAAGACTCTCACTCTCGCACCAAACTCACCATCATTAATCACTCTAGAATTTTCACATAGTTGATACAGTTTCTCCACTGGTACGTACATCCCTCCAATAAGCACCAGGCTGTCTTTGTGACAAGAATCATTACAAATGTATTTCCATCAAGTCCTTTGACATTAACGTCAGCGAACAGTAACACTGTTTCCCTTGCCATCTTTATCTGGTTCATAACTGTGTCAACCCTGTCTTCTGTTTTCCCTACAGTGTCAACGTCCATCTTTTCATGCGCTTTTATATATCCTCCTATTTTCTCTTTCTTTTTTCGGATTATATCTATATTGACTCCGAAAAGCACCTTTAGAAGTTCTGAAACATTGTCACGATTTGTCACCTCTTCAACCTCAGCAGATATACATGTCGTTACACGTGCTTTAGGGAAATCGCGATGGAGATTGAGAGTAAGCTCTTTGTCAGTGTCCTTGTTTTCATGCACAATGTCATCCTCATCCCGTACTCTTCCGTGAACTTTCACAGCAATAAACACATCAGGATCTACCACATCCACCGATTTGTCATTTTCTTCTACAATCATGTCATTGTGTATCTTCTGAGCATCCAAACTGCGGCGTCACTTACAGTACAAATAATACAGTGCTCCGCCAGCAGCAACCGCCAAAGTAGTTACTAGTACACAAGTTGCTTTCCTCATGATGTGGGGGTACGATTAGCCAGTTATTTCAAGTACAAATTACACTTCTGAAAATATATATGAACTGAAATTAATTATATAGTTAGACCGGAGAAAGACAGACCACAAAAAAATCACATTGTACCGACGCGTTTTGCGTCCGAATTAGCATTTTTTCAGGCGCACACATTCTGTCGATTTCGAAGCTAAGCAGTCAATGGTTTGAGTTGTGGCAGTGTGTAGGGTAAGTTTTGTTCGAGTACGAGCACACTGGAAATGTTTGGACAGAGACACTGAATAACACCTACTCACCAGTTGTAGCTGTACACGTATCTGACAAACGAGAGATTCCAAGTTACTACAATAGTAGTTTATAAATAAACACTGCTCGGACTGATAAATATTATATATAGAAGATAATATTTGGTAATCGTAGTCCTAAATAACTATTAAAAATAGCTGGACGTTTCGAGCAATGGCTCTTTATCGATAGCATAGAAGAAAAAGTACCGCCAAAACATTAAGTACTACCTAGACTTAGGGATTGGTCAGTTACTTTGGCCTAGGGGGGGGGGGTGTCGGTGGATCAGTAGGGGGGTTACCCTGTTTTTGATTGTCAGTTACTTTGGCCTATTGGGGGGGTCGGTGGATCAGTAGGGGGGTTTACCCTGTTTTTGATTGTGTGAATAGGGGGGTCACCCTGTTTTTGATATCATGAATTGGGGGGGTCACCATGTTTTCCAAAATTCACACACGCGCTCATGCATATATTTTTAAAAATTTTATTTCAGAACAAACTATAAAAAAGTTAATTGTACAAATTTGTTCTTAATAACTAGTACCTATATTGCCTATAAATTTGTTGATGCAAAAAATGTTATAGGCTAAATATTTTGAGGTTAAAGTTGCCAAATAACTAACAGATTATGCAATGCGGCTAGAAACCCAATTATACAGTTAAGTTTTAAGCACATCCCAAGTCCATGTGCTGCTGATATCAGATTATTTTATTTAAAGTCTGAAGTCACCATTGTATAAGATATTTACTGGATTTATCCAATTATAACAGGAGACGGAAAGACAACCAGCAATTAGTACAAAGAGCAGTGACAGTTTTTGTTCAGCAAATCAAAACAGTTAAATTTGTGAAAATGCTGATATATAAATTAAAATGATGTAAAAATAAATAAATAGTTATTTTGTCTTTTTAACTTTTAAATATGCATATTTTGCTCTGCAAAATACCAAAATCCAATACAAATTTAAGCAAAAATCAAAGTTTGACTGTGCTTCGGGTGTAAAGCTTTCCTGGTCTATAAGATATGAAAGATATTTTAAATCCAACTTAGTTTTCAAAGAGTTCAAACCGCCTAGATTCAAATTCTCTTTTCCTATCTTATAAGGGCGTTTATCGAGTACTCCACAGCTTTGCTTTTATTTACTATCTTTAGCAGCATAGATTTCCCTCCTTCTTGCAACCTTTTCTGTAGTCATTTTTTGGCTTTATGCTTCCCCTCCCCTCTTAAGGTCTATTAAATGCAAACGCTAAAAAATATGTCAAAATTATGGAAAACCATGATATTTTCAATGCACATATAATACATTTTGTAATCATGTCAGAGCCAAAACTGTTAATGTTTCTTTGTTTTTTGTTGTTGTTATTTTTTGGGGGCAGCATGTTTTAAAATATAATGTTGAGGGGAGTCACCCACTTTTTTTTTATTTGATAGGGGTGGGTCAACTGAGATTTACAGCTGGCAAAATGGAATCTGCCGACCCCCCCCCCTAGGCCGAAGTAACTGACCAATCCCTTAGCTCAGTTGTGGGTATAAACTAGTTAGTGACAGTGTACGTCACGAGCCGTCTGCCAATGAGCCTACAATTTACTGACGCAATCGGACAGAATAACACGCGCCAGAAACAGACACGTGATCTACTGCACCTTCCTGTAAAATTAGTTGTAAAATAAATTTAACAGTAAGCTTATGAGTCCTATCCTCTCGGTGTTACGCCATGCATTCACGGTAACAGATTTGAGGATGTCCCTTCTGGCAGAATAAATGGGCTTACGAATACGGTTAGTTCGGGGGGCAAACAGACGAGATTACACAATAAAATGCGAAAACACATTTACACACAATCGATTTAGACTCACTTGAGCAGATTGAATCTCGGAAATTTGTTTTCATTTTTAGATTTTACAATATTGTTAATATTTAATAACAGACGACGTCACTTGTGTCCTTCGGAGTAAGGCTGATATCGGATGGTTAAATCCTTTGTTGTGATTTATCTTCTGGCCATGCAAGTCAAAGGACGGATGGAATAAGCAATATCAAAAAGCGTGTATCGCGTGGCGTCACTATACCACGTGACTGCTAGACCGTTGTCGTGACCAACCTCGGTCTGGTGGTCTAAATTGTCATATTTACAACCATGGTGTGTGTTGTAATAATGAAGTCATGCTTGGACTTGGGTTTCTTGCAAACGCGGACGATAGGAGGCGCTATAACTCAAACAAGGGGGTGTTTTCTTTATTACTGGAACTTTCTACAACTTGAACCATGTATATGATAATTAGTGTTATACATATCAAGACAATCTATCGAACATATAACTCATGTTGAAATACGTGTAAAACTTTACAAACCTACTTTAACAAGGGAGTGACTCATCGTTCAATAACCTGGCTGTTAGAATAATACGACGATCATGATTGGTTGTAAACAAATACGTAACCATGTTATTGACTCGTCACTAACTAATCATAGCTGCTCATGATATATTCGACCTTATTTAAGTTTAAAATCGTTCGAATACTCACACGTTTGCCTTATTTCATGTTGTTGAGATAAAAAGTTTCTCGGGATGCCTCGAAGATGTCACATACCATTAGTAATTACGTATTCATGCCCTGTGTTGATATCTCGTATTGGTAGCAGGAGAGGGCGCTGCACACCGAAATATCGCTACAAGATTAAAATTAAAAAAATGTGCGATAAAGAAACAACGATTTTTTTGGTATGCATTATCATGAATTCAGTTTGCATATTAATATAAAATATCTACCAAACACAGAATTAAATTCACAAATATTGGAGCGTTCATGTAAATATTGTCCACGTTGTAAAGATCTCCTTTCAAGTTGAAGTTCATGGTTATGGCAATATGCATCTTGTACCCGCGTAACTATGCTGGTGATCGTGCGACAAGCTGCTCTAATGTCGTTAGAACACTATAATTAAATTGAGTTGTGGTACAATGTGGAGTGTGTATTTAGTGGTGCAAGTGACCGATATAAACCGATTTATAGACGCTTTATATAGCAAAGATTTATAGAGCGTGTTATACTTATAAACAAAGAAGGCCTGTCCAGAGCACACTGGAGCCGTTACCACAGCAAGACGTAGACTGTTCTAGTCTGAACGTGTAAACAAACAATAATGTCGAAACTAATTTGAAATTACATCTCGTCGATCAGCAATATTTGTGTGTTATCGATCGATGGATCGATACAGATTGCCCACAGACAATCCGCCGGGTTATAGGTCACACATTAAGCCAATCAAAGTCCGTGACCCCGCCCCCATCGTCGCATATTGTACCTGGTGATCGAAGTATTTCATCGGTTTTCAATGCCGCACGATGAACACGACATCGGCAATAATTCACATGGACCCACACGCAATCGACGAGCATGCCACAACAAACCTGGTTGATGGTTCGTCTAAAACGGCCGAGAATGGCTACGTGAACTGGGGGCCCATTATCTCGCGATTTCGCAAAAAAATGCACCCAAAGACAGAAAAGTCGAGTACATCGGATGAGATTTCTGCGGTCTATGAAAGCATGCTGGCTGCCATACGTCCCTATGGGTACGGAAATAAAACGCAGAGAAAACCAAAGGTATTTCAACTAATTTACTTTAATAGTAATTTAATTAGGTGATTGATACTCGTTTATAAAAAAAACAATGATCACTATTTGCGTTAGTTCGTCGTAAAGTGGTTAAACACATTTACACTCAAGTTTTATTTTCGTTTGTGGGCTTGAAAAATGAGAT